AACTGCCTCAGCAAATCAGGACTTTCAGGCCAACTGACTGCTTTGCTGCTGGAGCTCTTAATGTGAAGGGTCGGGAGCGACCCTGGCAAGCCCCGGGCTGACGTGTGTGGGGACAGTGGGAGTGACCCTGGCAGGGAAGCACGGGAGGCCTGGACATTGTTTCTCTGGTCTCCTGTCCTGCTGCTCTCTATCCTGGGCTCCAAGCTCAAAAGCACCGACTATGGCGTTCCCGGGCCGGGCGCGACCCTCTGTTATCCCAGAGAATGAAGAAATCCCCCAGACAGCCCTGAACAGTGTCCACCAGGCTAATGGAAATGAAGACGAGAGGGCTGTGTCCAAACTGCAGCGCAGGCACAGTGACGTAAAAGTCTACAAGGAGTTCTGTGACTTTTATGCGAAATTGTAAGTGTCTCCTCTCTTGGGGTTCCCCTCTTCCAGATCTAGCCTTCCTGGGCTTTCAGTTCACTAGCCATTTATGGTTTTATTTTCTTGACTCTCATCAGGGGCTTTCCAGGGTGATGCAGCATATTCTTGCAGGCAGGTAGGTTGCTTGGCCAAGCAAAACTTCTGCTAGATGACATACATATGTAAAGCAAAGTGCTACTTTTGAATTAAGAGCAGTATCGTCTGAATTAAGAGCAGTAGGTTCCTAATAATAGTTTTTTTTCATTATATAGTCCAAAAGAGAGGTTCATTTTCATTGTTAGGATTTATAACAAAAATTTTACACTCTACACCTTCCCATAAATAAAAGGCAGGTTGGGGAAAACTGAAAATTTGAATTACAGACTGCTGATAAAGGTCCAGATTTTTGTTATGTTTAATAATCAGTAGTTTGAAGTAGGCCAGCTGGGTTTCTCAGTACTGTCTCTAGGGGACTGAGTGAATGAAAAAGGATGTTGTGTAACTAGCATGCATATATATCATTCAGTTAACCCTAAAAGTTAATCTAATTCATATTATTAAATGGGTTTTTAGCAAGCAGTGTTTAAAAAATACTGTAGAGTAGTATTTAGACCAACTCATGTAAGATTGTTGATCTTATACAAGGTCGTAAGCTTAGAATTATTGCAAATCCTCAGTTTGTCAATAGAGAGGAGAATTTAATGGACCCGATTCTCTATTTCCATGAATCCTTTTGCTGCGGTTTTGCAACAGAGGTCATTTATTTTTACAACTCCTAAAGTGTTCTTTTTAAGAGTAATTGGGCAATTATAATTACTCTGTAACCAAAATGCTTGATTAACTAACCCTCAGGATGCTTTTTGAATTTACACAGTTGTGTATTTTAATGCCAGGAAATTTGTTTCACATGCTTCGATAAATGCGACACTTAAATAATAGAAAGCTTGAATATGTTAAGTTTTATGTGTGGTTGATTTTAAGAAGTAGATCAGCTAAAACAATTATGACTGACCAGTTATGAACATTTCGTACGAAGACTTTGATAGATAGATATAGATATATAGATATATTCCGCAATGTATATATTTCTTGTCATCAATTTTTGTTAAAAATTTTAGTGAAAATTCTTTTCTGAGAAATTATCAATTTATTGTAACTAACTGAATGACAGCTCTATCATTCATGACTTTTAAAAAGTAACTTCTGTCATGTGTATTAAATTTAAAGATCAATTGTAAAAAAAATAAAAAAGTCAGTGTAGGTTCATTCATTGTAACAAATGTGCCACTTTGGTGGGGATGTTGATAATGGGAGAGCTATGCATGTGTGGGGACTGGGAACATATGGGAAATCTCTGTGCCTTCCATTCAATCTCTCTGTGAACCTAAAACTGCTGTAAAAAATAGTCCATTAAAAAAAAAATACATAGTGCCTGAGGATCAAGGACAAGAAAGGAAAGGAATATGTAAACAGTTCAGTAGGTTGGTGAGATTATTGGGGTTTTTTTTTTCCTGAAAGTTTCCTCTAATGTTCTGTCCCTTTTCTTTTCCTACTTGTTATGATAAGGAAGACTTTTTCAAAAATACATATGACATTATCTCTAAAACTAGTTTATTTTTCCTGTATATGGAAAAAAATTATGCTTTTTATAATGTGTCTATTTTCTAATTCTAACTATTTGGTATTTGAACTTGAATATAAACAGTCTGTAGTATTAAGGTCAATGATAAACATTTTGATCTTGGGACCCCTTTACACTTTAAAAAATTTTTGAGGTCCCTAAAGAGCTTTAACTTTATCAATATTTACTGAATTAGAAAATAAAACTGAGAAATATTTTGTATTTATTAGTTCATTTAAAATAACAATACGCTCATTACACAATAATAAATATTAATATTAATTTTTAATGAAAAATAACCTTCTAAAAATAAAAGCTTGGTGTGGAAAGTGTGGCATTGTATTTACATTTTTACAAATCTCATTAACATCTGTCTTAATAAAAGTTTCTCATAACTGCTTCTGCATTCATCTTATTATAATATGTTGTTTAAAATAAAGTATAAAAAGAAAATATAGCCTCTCATAGAGATGTAGTTAGGAAAGGGAAGACCTTTGAACTCGTGAAAGGATCACAGTAATCCTTAAATTTTGAGTACCACCAACGTAGGTAGTAATGAATCAGGACATTCCAGGATGGCCTAATTGTCTAGCTTTTTTGGATTTCTATTAAAATCATTGAGGAGTTGGTAAATCTTTTGAGAGGGTTTTTAATTATAATGCTTTATATTTGAGTAACATCTTCTGTTTTCCAAAGTGGTTTTATATACTTTTTCTTATTTCATCCTCAAAACAGTACTAAGAATTATCAGGGCAGGTGTGGGCTTACCATACTTCATCAAGGGACTCTTGTGGATTTTGGTCAGGAGAACGGAGAAAGCACAGACCTTTCTAGAGCTTTGCTAAAACTTCCACAGTTCATCTGGCTTATGACAAAGCCAGGTAAAGAAGGAAGTTTTGCAGATTTTTCTTCCTAACATACAGTAATTTTGAAATAACAAAGTAGAAAATTCCTTTTAGTAGTAGACTTAGGCCAAGTTTGCCAAGCAGTGAGGTTGCCTCCCTTCCTCCCTTTCTCCTTTTATTTTGGTGACATTTTAATTCTGTATTTAAGCCTATTAAGTAAAATTGAATGTTGATTGGTAGGGGGGTATAAACATGGTACTGAGTAAGTTATGCCAAGGCTACAAAATAGGAATATGTGTTCTTTGAAACATTTGGGGGAGGAAGGCAAAGTTGCACTCCGTTGGGGTGAGGTGGAGGTGTGAAACAAGGTATGTGAACACTTTTGCTAAAGAAATAGCAAAACTTAGAAACTGATGTGAGATAAGGCAGGTAATCTGTCTGTAAAATGGAGACTTTCCTTCTCATCTGCCTCACAGGGCGGTTGTGAAGATTCAGGAGAATGTTGGCAGTCCCTCTATGAGGTGGGTTGGTTCAGTGCCTGGGTGGTCAGCAGCTGCACTGGGGGACCAGACACACAGGTAGAGCTCATGCTGTGAGTGGGCTTCTGAAAATAAACTTGCCAAATTATAGAAGGACGCCTTAGACAATCAATGACTGCTCTGCTTAGGGGACCTTCTCCACTTGGAGGCCTTCCAGAAACAAAACAGTTATTTATTGGAAGTTCAGGGGCCACTATGGGGTTGGGCTAGTCACTCTACCTCTCTGACCCTCTATTTCATCATCTGTAAAATGATCTTTATAATGTAAAATTCTTTAATTTTAAGATATATTTTATAATATCGGTGTTGAATATTAGTCTTACCAATTAAATGATAGGACTAAGGGATTTTTGGCAGGTTTTCAGAGTTACTAAGCAGTGACTTTCAGTAGGATCTAACCAAAGGAATAATTTTCGTCTATACTATGACATGGCATTCAACTGATATGCAGTTTAGATTCTGTTCTCAGAGGAGAGAGAAATTGGTTTTGAGATGTTGACTTATGGATTTTTTTTCACAGAAGAAGAAACACCTTTATTACATGAGCTAAGATAGAGAGGAGGATTTATTTGCTTTTTGAGGCCTTGATTTTCCTCAGCTAGAACTCCAGCTCCTTGCCCTCTAGCACATAGCCATCTGCTCAGCCATACTTGCTTGGTCTTGAAGTGATGGGTGTAAGAAGCTTGCCCAACTGGAACTGCTAGAAAACTGCTGATTTGAGCATTCTTTTCCTTTCATCATATTTCTTCTGAACTTTCTTTGGTTGTTTTGTTGTGTTTTTTTTTTTTAAATCTCTTTCTCCTCAGGAGTCAGCTTGGCCCCCTTCTTACAGCTCAGGGGCAGTATGAAGTGCGGCTCATACCTCTGTTGGTCCACAGTGTTGTCAGTGAGCACGACAAGGCTCTTCACTAGGGTCTTGGCACCAACCGGTTCACCATTGGATGCACTGTAGACAGCATCAGTAACCCTTGCTTTGTGTATGCAACACTCAGAGCCCCAGGAGAAGTTCCCCATGTCCAGCCTCAAGGTAGAGCTTGTTGCCTCCCACATGTAGACTGTGTGTATGTGTGGGGGCCAGTCTTAGTGTTGGCAGCAGGGTGTCCCAGGTCGTGTTTATGTTTCTGTGATAGGGCTTTCTCTTGCCCCTGGCCTTGTGGCACTTGTGCCACTTGTCCCAAGAGATGCCCATGACATGGTGCCGGCTGGAAAGAGCAGCTTGTGGATATTTTGATTAAGCTCCTTATTGGGCTGTAAACTCGAGCTCCATGAGGGCAACTCTTGACTTTCATCTCTATCCCTAGTGCCTAACAGATAGTAGGCACTCACTCATGGTGATATTTATCAGGAGGAATGTCAAAAATGTTAAAGAGAAACAGGTTCCGAGCAGGAGGCCTCTTTAGAACCTAAGATGCTAGGGCAAACAAATGGGAACAGTTTGAGTTGAAAACTTAAGACACAAGCAAGAAATCAGGCTTTATGATAAAGTACAATTTTCGTGATGAGATAGAATGTGCTCATAGTTTATGTTTTTTCATCTTAAGTCTAAGAAAAAGTTGACAGTCTGTGCTTCCTGTCCTTTGTGTGTTACAGCAACATGGCCAATGCCCTTGCCAATGCTGCTTGTGAGCGCTGCAGGGGGGGTTTTGCACCCGCCGAGAAGATTGTAAACAGTAATGGCGAGCTGTACCATGAGCAGTGTTTTGTGTGTGCTCAGTGCTTCCAGCAGTTCCCAGAAGGACTCTTCTATGAGGTGAGTCAACTTGGACAGAAGCTTAAAGATATCATCCTCCTTCACTCTTCTTCCCTTCCCTTTTTTTGAGGCATCTTTCTTCCCTTTATTTTTAATTTTTTTATTAGTTCCAAGTATATAGTACATTAGTTAGACATTTATATAGTTTATGAACCTTCTTTTTTTTACATTTCAGTGTCAAAGATTGTACTGAAATGTCAGATACAGATACAGTGCCAGGTATTTGGTACCTCTCAGGTCAGTGATGGCTTATATGTGCAATGCCCTGACAGACCCCACCGTTTGTATTGTTCATCTTCTTATTTCAGAACCCACAGTACCTCAGTCTCACAGACCTGAGCACTTCAGCTCAGCAGACAAAATTCTTTCATTAACTTTAGCCACAGTTTTTCTGGCTTCTCCACTCAGATCCCCACTTGCTTGCCCCCACATACCTTCATGAATCCTGCCTATGTGTGTCTTTCCTCCTTCTCAGAGAACCATTGGATATCCTCTCTAAAGGGATATTTGTTACCTCCTCCAAGACTTTCAAGCAACAAGTGGGACCATCCATGCATTTATTTTCTAAAGAGGATCTTGTTTGGAAATGAGTATTTGGGGGGCGGGTACCCTGTTAATATTTAGCTCTTCGATGTGTCTTATATTCTTTTCCAAATATTTGTTTTTCTTGATCCTCTGGACTTACCATGTGGTCTCTACTTCCTTCGTATTTATTCTTACTATGACCGAGACCCCCTTCTCACAGTAAACATCTACTTTGGTACTAGTCTAGGGATGCTGACCCCTTGCTCTTAATGAAGAGTGGTGTGTGTGTGTGTGTGAGAATCTGAGAGAGGTTAATCAGATAATTTACCAACTTACTTACCCCTTACATATTTGTATATATGTTATTCATATGTGTATCTGTATATGATAATATATAGAACTATATTATAGGTAGAGATGGCTGCTGTTTGTTTTCTTTTTGCCTAACAAATTTTTAAATTTTCCTGTTTTATAAGCCATTCCTGAGGAAGGAAAGGTAGTTACTAAAGGTCATTAGTAAGTCAATTGTTGGAGACTCAGACAGCATTTTTCCCATAAAAACCATGCCTCGTGAGAGTGGGGTTCCAAGGCCAGCCATCTGTCATGGATACACGAAATACAGAACTACCATGTATATAGTAACTTCACTCTGGGAAACAGCTTTAAGTGTTTTGATTAGGGCACACTGTTTTATTCACTGAAAAACATTTTGAGCTCTTACTATGTCCCGGAAACATATTCACTACAACCAAAATCCTGGCAATAGGAACAGGAATTCTATTTCTCTTTTCTTTCAGTTCTTCCTAATTCCTTCCCTGGGTAGTGGGAATCTCTTTTCCTGTCAAGGTTGATGGCAAGTGACACTTGTGGTGGGACCAGAGTAGAAAAGGTACAGTGTCCAATAGCAGGAGGGAAGACCTGGGGAGAGGGGATGGGGGGTGTCAGAGAGTCACCTGAGATTGTGGTCAGGGCTGCCATTGGTAATGAGGGGCAGCAGCTAGATTCAAGGAGAAAAGAAAGTCCCTAGCTGCTGAGGCCAGCAAGGGAGGTGATACCCAATTTGCATAAAAAGACCGAAGGACCTGTTCTGTAGAGTCTTGACAAAACACTGTCAGTTCTCTGAGTAAGCGCAGGGGAGGTAGGCCAGGACCTTGGCAAGGAAGGAGGTAAGACTGCCAAAACACACTTCAAGGAGGCTGAGAAGTCTGCCTCCCTAGGAAAGATCAGCCCTTATACTTTGTAACCCCTTCTTCTCCTGCTTCTTTTTTCCCTTGAGGCCTAGATAGGTTGAAATGTCCTTGATAACACAGCAGACTTGTGATGTGAATGGAATTAGAACTTAGTCTGGTCTCCTAATATCCAATATGGTATTCTTTCCCTTACATATTCTTTTCAAATCTAAAATATTTTTATCGAAATAGATAATTATGACAAAGGCCTTAGAAGAGATTCTAGAGATGCAGTAGGGAAGAATTCAAAAGAGAAAGGCAGACTCTGTTTTTTCACACATTTTTATTATTTCCGAGGTCTTATTTTCTTCTATCACTTTCTTTTTCCTATACTCTCCATTTGCCTGCCACTTTGGAATTAAAAATGTTGTTAAGTGCGATCACCTCCTAAGCTCCTGGTTCCATGTTTGGGTCCTATCAGCTGCCAAGGCACTTATGCTTCGTCAGAGGGAAGGCTCTGGAAGAGCCTCAGATGGAATGGAATAAAGCATGACACACTTGTCCTCCTGCCCATCCCTTATTCCTCTTTATTTCTGGATTATAAGTACCTTCCTTGGGCTTATCTGATAGTATTCCAGAAGAAGTTATCAGCACTCAGAACTAGTCTGTTAATGGGCTGTTGTCCAGCTAAAGCTCCCTGGAGTCCAGAGGAAGATTGCTATTTTAGCTCCATTTGTAATTAAAACCCTTTGTCCAGACCAGAGTACAACTTTTCCATTTGGTTGAATGATATTAGAGAAAAAGCTATCCAAGCATTCCAAGAAATAACCTGTATTTTCAGTTATGTCCAGCAGTAAATTGTTTCCCTGGAAAGGAAGTACGAAAACTTACCCAGTTTGCTTTCCCTTTGAGACATAACCCTGTGCTACAGTCTTGGTGGTAATAGCAAATGCATCTTTTCTACTCTATACCTTTGATAAGACTTTTGTCTTTAAAACACTATCCTTCTTTTATTTCCACAGTCCCTACTCTTTTCTCTAGAAGGCTAGCAATAGAGACTTAGAGGTGAGTTCTCTACACTTACCTTCCTTTGAAAATGGGATTCACTTTTCACTGTAGAACTTCCTGATATTTTGGATCGGGTAACCAGGACAGTCTTCCTTTTGACCACAAAGGCAAGTCTAGTGTGAGACTTGTTTCCTACCCACCCCTAGGATGTATGTCTGCATATAAGCTGATCAGGCTCAGGTGTTTCTGGCTCATCTATCGCTCCTCTTAAGAGTGATTCAGCTGCAACCAGGATTAATTGTCTCCTTACTCAAGATGAATTTGAATTCCTCTAGATTATGTGATTTAAAAAGCAAAGTTAAAGTTTCCTGTTAAGATGGTAATCCATCACCACTGAAGAATGTAAAGTAGGACTTGATTCTGTGCTCTGCAGCTTCTCTCATTAATAAGGACTACTTTCTTTACCAAGATGTTTCTTATTATAAGGCATCATCAGTGGTGTTTTCAACCTAATCCCGTCTGTTTCATTTCTTATCTTCTCTGAGTCCACACAGCACTTTGTTTATACCTTTAATATGGAGGGCATTTACACATTTCATATGGCTATTGATTTATATGCTTATCTTCTTCCTATCTAACTCTAAATACGTCAGGTACAAGAACTTGCCTAATTCTATATCTCTATCACTTGTTTTACAGTATTTAATGACTATTAGGTACTTAAGTAAAAGAATAGTACTCAGTTCTTGGATGGTATAGATTGCAAGTAAGATGCTAATCTACCAACTAGGAACTAGGTCAGACAATTTCTAATCTAAACATTCAAAATATTGATAATCTTTACCTAATTCCTATTGTTTGTCTCTTGGACATTATTTGAGCTTTGTCATGCCTGCATGCAGAGCAGTGAATGAAAGAAATGCATTCTTAAGTGGAAATAAGCAACCTCAGTTGTGGGTCGAACCCCGAGAAGAAGAACTGAACCATGATAATGTTTTCAGTACCATATGTGGACCATGGACTTGATATGTTGGTTCAGGCCAATTGGTGGTGTTTTATTTAAAACCTACAGAAAAGTTGAAAGAATAGTACATTGAATGTCATGTACCCTACACATCACACACACACACACACACACACACACACACACTCACACACTCACACACACACACTCACACACACTCACTCACTCACAAATACGTCAGGTACAAGAACTTGCCTAATTCTATATCTCTATCACTTGTTTTACAGTATTTAATGACTATTAGGTACTTAAGTAAAAGAATAGTACTCAGTTCTTGGATGGTATAGATTGCAAGTAAGATGCTAATCTACCAACTAGGAACTAGGTCAGACAATTTCTAATCTAAACATTCAAAATATTGATAATCTTTACCTAATTCCTATTGTTTGTCTCTTGGACATTATTTGAGCTTTGTCATGCCTGCATGCAGAGCAGTGAATGAAAGAAATGCATTCTTAAGTGGAAATAAGCGACCTCAGTTGTGGGTCAAACCCCGAGAAGAAGAACTGAACCATGATAATGTTTTCAGTACCATATGTGGACCATGGACTTGATATGTTGGTTCAGGCCAATTGGTGGTGTTTTATTTAAAACCTACAGAAAAGTTGAAAGAATAGTACATTGAATGTCATGTACCCTACACATCACACACACACACACACACACACACACACACACACTCACACACACACACACTCACACACACTCACTCACTCACACACCCCACCCATTTTTTGCAATTTGAAAGTAAGCTACAGACATAATTCTGCATGAAGGTGCTTTTAATTTTCTACAACTTTGACATTTGCCTTTGCATACTTGTGAACTTCTGAGGATGATTCATGATTTGACTCTTAACTGTGTTTTTTTGGGGGGGCAAGGCGGGGGAGGGCACTGGAAGAGCCATAGTTAAGAGATGATTTTTGGGATACTGGCATTAAAATGTTCTGTTATTGAGGGGCATGTTATATCAAGATGGGATTTTAATATAATCGCTTCTAATAATGAAGTATCATTTCTTGAATTAAAAATCCCCTCCCCTCAGTTTCTTTAAATGATTCAAATAACTTTAGACTATATTTCCAAGAGCAGACATTAAAAGGAGAAGAAAGAGAGCTAAATTCTCTTCCCCTTGAGTATGTGCTGGACTCACTGACTCACTTCTGTCAGGGATATAAAAAGAATAAAGTAGTAACTTTGCAATAGAGAAACCTGGAAGATACCATTTTAACGAAGTGATCAAGATTAATATCACTAGTAGTAAGTCATGCTGA